GAAATATCTGAATATAGATTTTCTTTTTCAGTTCATAGGAAGTGTTGGATTTCATTTTTGGGACATTAGCATGGTGTCCGTGAACACCTACTTGTACTTGGCTACAGCTTTGTTCTTATTCCTTTAAGGTACCCGTGTGTTCTTTGGTAGTTTAGTATAGCACATTCTATTAACACAAGCAGGCCCTTTAAACAGTTCCCAGAACACTGCTTCCCCGCGCCACCCCCGCCCCCACACCCGCCATTTCTTTTCTTTAATGTACTGTTAGAGGTGAAAAGGCCAGTGATGTGACTCAGTGGTTTGGAGCTGAGACCTTCTTAGTGTAGTTTTGAACTTCTAGGTCAAGTACTAGACACAGTTGACCTATTGTTAAAGGGTATGAATAAAGATGAATGTAACTCCTAAATAGACATTTCTGTAATATATCTAAAATAATTGATTGCTGTCAGATAATAGAAATTCTCAGTTTCCAAAATGAACTCTAGCAGTATAACTCTTAAATTTCTATAAATATTAAAAGACTATAAGAAGGGAACTCTGTAGTTTGCTGAAACTATTACATAACTTTTCATTAATAAAAGTAAAATAGCCATACTGGTCTTATAAATGATTTCCTGCTCCTGTTGCCAACTTTAAACTTAAATTTAATAAAGGGAAATAGAAATACATTATAGTTAAAGAATATAGACATCCAAAATGAGAGACCCAGGTCTGAATGACCCTTGCAGAATAATTGTTAGGCTTGGAGAGTTCTGTTTTGCTTCATGTTTATTCCGATTTGGTGTTGCAATCTCGCGTTAACAGAATTATACATCCTTACTTCTTAGTTATGTAACATAACTCTGCCAACCTTGGTAGAAAAGTTTAGGAAAATCGAGAGATTTTTTCAGGACGAGTTTAAGTTCCATTGATGATATAATAGTTCATGCATTAAAAAAACAAACAAAAACTTTTTATTCTTCTGTGCTAGAAGAGCATTAAAAGTGTTGTTTTTAGGGACATGCTTTACCATTCAGCTGACAGTCATTTTGTGGTCATCTAAAGTATAAATGAAAATAGCTAATATGAATAGAGCACTTTCTGTATACCAGACACTTTATTTACAATGATCTCATTTAATCTTCACAAACACCTATGAGATAGTTTAGAATTCCCTTTATAGTTGAGGCTGAGGTAGTAACAGATGCCTCCAGGGTAACCTTGAGGATATGAGGCAGAAAGAATGAGTGCCCATGGTGTTCAGTACCTATAGTTCATTATGTTACCAGCCTCCAGCAAATCCCGAGTCTTGGACACATGGTAGTCTTCAGATTACTTCAAATCTTCTGGGTAAAAAGGATGTCGGATCACACTGGGTGACCTGGAGCAGATTCCCCTGGGGTAACTAGTCTGGATTAGAGTCTTCTGTTCTGTTCCAGCCTTGATCTGGCTCATTCTACAGTTCCCTAACATGTCAGTTATTCTCTGTCACCTGATTAATTGCTGAACACTCACTCATTGTGTGCTTCATTGATCATATGCCAAGAACTTTTGGCAGCTCTGGGGGACATGATCTCAACATGCCTCCTGGTCAGTGTTGGGCAACTAGAAGTTGTTAGTTGGGGTGAGAACTTGGATCCAGAAGCTAAGACACATGCCAGAGACCAGGCGTGGAGTAATTGAGCAGCTGACACGTGAAATGCAGCAATCCAGACTCAGCCAATAGGCAAGAGTCAGAAATGGAATAGGTACATGATTTTGAAAGGTGAATTTTAAAGATTATGGTGGCTGGCTATGGACTTTGTAGTTAGTAGATATAAAATAATTTCAACTACTTTTTCAGGAAGACTAATTTACCACCTTATTCATTATAGTGCTCATTACATTGAGCAGAAATCTATCCTGTGACTTTCCCCATTGGTTCTAGCTATGCTGTTCTGTAGCTTTAAATCTCCAGTCCCTTTTACATTTGAAAGGATAATATACACATAAAATTTCAAACTCTCCTTTTCTGTCTCTTCTTCATGGTATCCAAAAAGTTGGCATTTTTCAGGGTCCAGTCCTTGGTCACCTTCTACATTTATCCTCTATGTGATCTCATGTGAAGCCTTGCTTTAAATGCCACCAATCCTCCCAAATTTACTTATTTTTACCTTGATCTCCCATTATTTAAGGCTCATATCTATGTCTGCCTAGTCAATACCTCTATCTGAAAGTCCGATAAACATTTCAAGGTTAACATGTCTGAAATAGAACTCTTGAACTCCTCTTAAAACGTGTTCCTGCCTCCTTCTTTTCATCTCAGTAAATGGTCCATCCAGGTTGCTCAGGCCAAAACTAGAAGTCATCTTTGACTTCTCTTTCTAACCCGCATCCAGGCTATCAGTAAGGCTTATATGTCTACCTTTCAACATACATCTCAAATTCCCTTTTGCTGCTGCCACTCCTCATTATTACCCTAGTATAACTTATAATCACTATCATAAGTTACCTAGATGATTCTAGTAACTGGCTTTCTAACTGGCCTTCCTTATCTCCTCCTTACCCCTCTCCAGTCAGTTTTCCATGTTTGTTTTTTTCTTGAACGTTAAATAGTTCTTGTCATTCTCCTGTTCAGAACCTTCAGTGGCCACCTGTCACAATCAGGATAAAACCTCAAGTCTCACCATCTTCCACCATATCTTGCATGTTCTGTCTGATGGCTTTATCTTCTACCATTCTGTCTTGCTCACTGTGCTCTAGCCTCAATGCCTTCTTTCTATTCCTTAAATTCTCCAAGTCCATTTGGAATCAGCTAAATCCTTGCTAATCCCCTACTCTACAAACCCATTCCAACCAGTTGAGCCTCCAGCCTGGTACCAGTGGAGGTAGATTTATAGAGAAGAAAAGTACATATCCAAGATTCTCTAGCACGTGTAGTAGGAGAGGTCACACTATGAATTTTGCAGCTACAAAATATTCAAAATTTCTGGAATTTGAATTGCTTTCAAGTGTAAGATTTAGAGCTATAGAAAGATAGAGCTAGATCAACGGAGAGAAGTTAGAGAGATTTCTGCTCAGTTTAATGCACACTATAATGAATATGTTGGTAACATCTGTGGGAAAATAGGATGGTGAGTTCTTCATCACTGACAGTGTACAAGTTGACGTGATTACCTCATGGGATGTTGTGGAGGAAATTGGGCTGGAGTGGAAGAGGGGAGATGTCTAACGTCTTCTCAATGCTGAGAATCTTCTTTTTTTAAAATCTTCTTTATATCTTTCAGAATCTTCTTTTTTCAGAGCAGTTATTCTTAGTCCTCCTCAGATTCCTCCTCTTCTATTTGTATTGAGAAGCTTTCATCAATTTCACCAATGAAGTATAAAGCATTTCTAGGTGAAGTTTCTCCTATTTGAGATGAAGGAAGAGCTAGTATCAAGGTTGATTTCTGGTCAGATTGGTCAAGTCTCCATCTAAGGAATTCACTTTGAGGCATTTTTAGTTCTCTCATTTTTTATTTGAAATTTATTTTGAATGCTTTTTGGTATAAACTAAGCTATACTTACATACACAAATTCCCTAATAGATTTTAGTTATTAACCAAAACTAATAATTCAAGTTTCTTATAACTGTTGAACTGTGACACTTGGAATTAATGACATAGGAAAGAATGATTTTCAGGGCCTCTGTGATACTTAAGTACTTTATATTTGATAGCACCTAAATAATAGGATGACACATCTCAAAGTTATCTGTAGTCACCAGGGCCTGCCTAATGCCAGCATGTGCTTGGCATACAATATGAAGTCAGTGTGCTGATGAATATGCTGTTCTGACTCTCTAAGAAAGGCCTGAGCCCATTAACATGTTTTCACCTTGAGTCTCTTCTTGTAGAAACTATCTTCTCTCGCTTTCTGACTTTGTTGCCATCTTTCCCATTATTCCTATCTCTGTCCTTCAGATTGACTCCTCTTTCTTCCTGGCTACTGTTTTGACTTCACCTCTACAAAACTGCTGCTCTGACCCAAAACATACAGTTTGGATTCTCTCCTGTATTGATAGTCCTGTCTCGACCTGAGCCAGGGATCCTCCTAGGAGGTAGGATGGTTGTACCTCCTTGATTATAAAGGTAACATAAGCATTGCACATGTGACATGGTTCTTGACCTCTTGCACCTAGGAAAACAAGATTAATTTTTGCACCTGGCTTTATCAGAAGACCAACATATCCACACTCCTTTTAAAGCCAGTAATGAAGTAATCAACAAGGCACAGAAAAAGCAGTTCTCAAATGTAGGGCACTTCTCTCTCAAACTCAGCTCCTTGGAACAGATCTGAGAACCAGGGACGAAATGAAAGAGGCTTTTAAGCTACATACAGATGATGTTTGAAAGTTCAGACCTTAAAATGGTATATGAGGTTCACTTAGAGCCTCTTTACTTGCTTTTCCCTTCATAATAATAGCAAACACATAAATAACACTGTGTTTTAAGTGCTTTATGTATTTTAGCTAACTTAATCCTCACAGCAATCTTATGAGGTAAATACTATAATAAACCCCATTTAACATATGAGGAAACTCAGTCTTGAAGAGGTTACGTCACTGCCCATAGTTACACAGCTTGTTTGGTCAGAGCTGAGATTAAAACTCAAGTGGATAACCACTTATTTTTGATCCTTAAGTTCTCTAACTCATCATTCTAAGAAACCTGGTTAACTGGTTTCTCAGACCATAGCAGATTAGAAGTGTCAGATTTAGAAGAGAATATAATGATTTAGGATTACCACTTTAATGTGTCCCTCCTAAAAAAATACCCAAGAATACAAATATATGTGTATAGGGAACTCTATAGTGTTATCATAGCAAAATAGTTATCATAGCAAAATAATTGAAAATTATACAGAAGTCCAGTAATAGGAGAAATGGTTAAACTAGGGCACTGCTTTGCAAACTTTATATACATATGACTCACCTGGATATCTTGCGAAGATGTAGATTTGATTGTGTGTGGTGTGGCCCAAGAGTGTACATTTCTGATGAGGTCTGAGGTAACGCTGATGTTGCTGATTTGTAGACCTCACTCTAAGGAAGGAATTTCAGTATATTCATATACTGTGTTTATGAAGGACAGGTCTGAGACTAGGGTAAGACAAGTGGGCCACCTGGTGCCCCTATTTCAGTCCGTGTTTTTAAAGACTATTCAGTGACTCTCAGTTATGCTTATAACATAATTAAAAGGAAATTGAAAATGGTATCTGCACTATTATCTCAAATTAAGATGTTTTGTTTGAAATTATGTGATGTAAGTACATATGTATGTATGTGAGGAGACATGCCAGAGTTACTAGTTGTTACCCTCTGAGTGAAAGGTTTCCAGATGGCATATATTTTCATCTTTATATATTTGGCATTTTTCAGTTTTCAATAGTAAGCCTGAATAATTTTCTAGGTATTGTTTATGATTATTAAAACTGTTAGAACTTTCAGGTAACTATATACTCAAACTTGGTTCATGATAGCCTAGCTTGGAGGAAATATTTGCTTCCTTCCACCCACTTCTCTTCAACCTCCCCCAAAACATCTATTCATTTTTTTTTTCTCAAATGTATAAGCTATTTAATGTTTTCATGGAGGCTTCAGTTTAGGACTTAAGTTAGGGCATATGCCAATGTAAACAATAAAGGGCTAATATTTTTGAGAATTAAGGTAATGAAATAAATACATTTTTATGAATAATTATGACATAGATGTGGAAAATCCCACTTTTCAATATTTACTGATTTTATTACCTATTCAGCATAAGTGCCTGGAGGGCCAAAATCTGTGTTTTTTGGGGTTTGTTTTTGATATTCAGTTTCTAAAAAATAAATATAAGATAAGTACCCTTTACCTTGCCTTCTTCTCTACTAGTAAGGTAACCTGAATCTAGAAGTGAAGTATCTGACTTTCACTATGGAGCAGGGAAAGCAGGTAATAAAGAGATAGGCTAGAAAAGCCTGATTCATTTGAAATCTCACTATCCTGGAGAGGAGGTTTCTGAGAAGAGAAGGAGTTCCTGAAATATGTGTAAGGGAGCTCTCAAGGATCTGGCTGAATACCAAACTGTGCATGCGTAGACTGAAACCCAAAGAAGCTGGCAAGGGCAACTTGAGAAATAAAAAATTACCAGGTCACTGTAAGATTGAGCCCTAAAATAAAGGTTCCTCTACACAAGTCCTAAAAGAGCTTGAAGCCAAGCCTCAAAAGTTATATTAATCCACCAGTAACTTAACTGTCTGCCAGAAGAAGTCCAACACTCTTTAAACAGATACGACAAAATCCAGCACTCAGCAACATAAAGTTCACAGTGAATTGCATCCAATCAAGCGAAAAATCAGGAGAAAAATCTTATAACCAGGAGACAATAGAAAATAGACCCTGAAATGACCGAGATGATAGAATTAGCAGACAAGTACATTAAAATGGCTGTTGTAAATATGGTCCACATATATAAACAAAATGAAGAATGAAATAGAAGATATGAAAAAGAAAAACTAGAACATCCAGATATTAAAAGTATAGTAACTGAAATGAAAATTTTACTAGATGAGATTAAGTACAAATTAGATCTTTCAGAAAAGGTCAACGAACTTAAAAACATAGTAAGAATTTAACCAAAGGTATAAAAGAAAAGAGAAAAAGATGAACAACTTGGTGTCCTGTAGGATAATAAACATGGATCTAAAATAAGTGTAATTGGAGTCTGAGATTTGGAGAAAGAGTGAAAGAAAAAGATAAATAAATAATGGCTTAAATGTTCTTAAATTGAAGAAAAGTGGAAAGCCACAGATCCAAGAAATTCAACAAACTCCACACAGAATACACACACACACACACACACGCACACACGCACGCACGCACACACACACATACACACATCCCAAGATATACCATAAGAAAATTGCTCAAAATCAGTGATAAACAGAAAATCTTAAAAGTGGGAAGAGGGAAAAAAAGGACAGTACATTAAAGGAATGAAGTTAAGAATGGCAGCAGACTTGTCATCAGAAACTGAAACCAGAATGCAATTTAATGGTATTTTTTAGGCGCTAAAAAAATTGTCAACCTACTATTCCATATCTAATAAAAATGTCTTTAGAAAATAAAGGAGGAAAAACTAAGGGAGAAATAAGAACTTTTTTAGGCAGAAACTGAGACAACTCATGACCGGCAGATCTATACTATAAAAAGTATTAAAGGAACTTTTTCAGGCAAAAGGAAAATGATACCACATGGAAATTTGGAGTGGTAGAAATGGTTCATATGTGGATAAATATATAAATTTTTTCTCCTATTTTAGTTTTTTTTAAAAGGTAATTGATTATGTAAAGCAAAAAATAATAAGTGTCCATTTAGTATAGGGTTTATAACATGTAAAAGTAAATGTACGACAACGATAGCTCAAAGAATGGGATGATGGAAAGGAGGAATACCATGGTAAGGGTCGTATACATAAGTACATAGCATTTTCTGAAGGTAGGCTGTAATAAGTTAGAGGATCTACTAAAAAGGTTTAAAAAATGACTTTTAACTAATAAGAATGAAATCCTAAAAAATAATCAAAAAGAAGAAAGGGGAACAAAGAACAGATGGGACAAATAGAAAACCTGCAACAACACGGTAAAGCCATATCCAACCATTTCAATAATCACATTAAATGTAAGTGATCTACTCTAATTATAAGGCAGAGGTTGTCAGATTGGATTTAAAAAAACAAGAGAAAATTGTGTCTTGTTCTCAAGAAACCCTCAAAATAAGTTAGAAATAAAAGGGTGGAAAAAATATGTAGTGTAAGCACTAATTATAAGACAGCTGGAGTGACTATATTACTATCAAAGAGGGCATCAGAACAAGTGATATTAATAAGATTAAAGAGGCACACTTCATCATGATAAGTGGCTCAGTTTATCAAGAAGAAATAATAACCTTAGATTTAAATGCAACTAATACTACATTGTCAAAATATATGAAGCAGAAACTGATAGAATTGAGGGGGGAGAAATTGACAAATCTTTGATTATAGTTGGAGATTTCAACACCTATTTCAGTAATTGATGGAATAAGGAGAATATCAGGAAAGATATAGATATGCTGAACAACATAATAAACAAAATTGACTTCATTGACATTATAGAACATTCCACTCAACATTCAGGAGGAAATACATTCTTTTCAAGCGCACGTGTAATATTCACCAAGGTAGCTTACCATATGCTAATATGTAAAACAAGTCTGATTAAGTTTATAATGACAAAAATTATGCAGAGTATGTTCTCTGACCACACATAATTAAATTAGAAATCAATATCAGAAAGATATCTGGAAAATCCTCAGTATATGTAATTATATCACATCTTCTAACACATTAGTCAAAACAAATAGGGAAATTAAAAGATGTTTTGATGTGTCTCAGGATGAAAACACATCAAAATTTGTGGGATGTATCTAAGGCAGTGCTTAGAAAAATATTTAACTTTAAATGCATATATTAGAAAGTAAGAAAAGTATAAAATAAATGATCTAAAAATCACCTTAATAATCTAGGAAAAGAAGAGCCAATTAAAACCAAAATAGAAGGAAAGAAAGAAACAGAAGAACAGAAACTGGTGAAATAGAAAACAGATAACAGAGATAATCAAAGAAACCAATAGGATCTTTGAAAAAATGAATATACTTCTAGCTAGTGAAATTAAGAAAAATAAAGAGGAAACACATGTTACTGAGTATAATACCAGAACTGAAAGAGGGGGCATCATTACAGATTATATAGAAATTAAAGGTATATAGAAGCAATATTACAAACACCTTTTAGAAATAAGTTTGATAGCTTTGATGAAATGGATCAATACCTTGGAAGACACAAATTATTGAAAATGACTCAGAGAAATATAAAATTAGAATAGCACCATATCTATTAAAGAAGTTATGTTCCTCTTAGTCAAGATTTTGGAGTAGGTAAACGCTGTGCTCACTTCCCCCTATGACCACATCAGAATTACAACTAAAATATAGAACAACCATCATTGAGAATCACCTGAAA